GGTCCATGGACGTCTTCTTGAAACTCCTGTTTCTTTACCCGGCTCTCCCTCACCCCTGTTTCTATGGCAAGTTGAGTGGCAATAGAGGTTAGTAAGCATCTTAGCAATTCAACCTTGACATGCCAACCCCTTGGAAAAGAAGGTAGATATAAGGAAACAGTAAGGCCCCACTTTGCCAGGCCTCTCTTCTCCTTATCTTGCTGCTGAAGATAAGAAAATAAATTAAAGCTCCCCTTTGCACACTATACCTAATTGCTTTTCCTTCTATTTGGCCCATGAATCAGATTTTGTTGGGATGTGCAAAGTCTACCTAGCAATAATTGTTTTTTTCCTGCACATACATACACATGTGTATATCAGATTGATATAATGATTTTTACACCAAATTACTAGCACACTTCTAGGCAAAGCCTCTGACAGCTGGAGTGTGTCTTATTGCCAGCATGGAAGATTCATAATACAGGTTTGTTTTATTGCTGGGTTTTGTTTTGTTTTGTTTTCTTTCTTTTTTTGTTTTTGAGTTTTTATATTGTCTGGCATTATTTGGTTCCATGTTTTTCTGAACTTCCTTCCAGATAAGGAGATTGGTAAAGCATTACACAAGCCCTTGCCTGAAATAGATTCACAAGGGCGTCTTTCATATAGATGTGTCTGTGAAATCAATTTTTTACTCAACTTTTGTGGCCAAGTGGCAACCAGTCTTCAGATGTGATATTTGTGCTGTTTACCCCAGCTTATCAGTAACTCTTTGTCCAGTGCGGAATATACACATTGCTCATCTTGCAACTGAATTTTATTCCAATGACCCGGTTGGCAAGCAAAATGTGTTAGTTATTCCTCATTCAGATAAAGTTCTCTCATATAACTATGCCATTCTATACTCTTACTCTAGCATGCCTTGTTGTCAGGTGGACAAACTTTGGTCATAAACATGTGCATTGGTTGGAAAATGATTTTTTTACTTACTATTTATTACCATCATATTTGCAAAAGGGTCACTGAGATATAGATAGCTCTTGATATACAACCTTTTGTTTAGTGACCATTCAAAGTTAACAAACTGCCCTGCAAAAAGGGAATTACAACTGGTCTTTGCATTTATGACAGTTGCAGTGTACCCACAGTCACATGATCAAAATTTGGGCACTTGGCAACTGCCATTATTTATAATTGTTGCAGTGTCCTGGGGCCGAAGTTATTGCCATTTGAAACTTTCCTACCCAGCTTCCTAGAAGCAAAATCAATAGGGGAAACCAGATTCATTTAACAACCTTAACTACTGCAGCAAAAAAAAGGTTGTAAGATGACTCATTTAATTGCCTTGCTTTGTAACAGAATTTCCTGTCCCAATTGTGATCATAAGTCAAGGATCACCTGTAATCACTAAATGAGGAGTGGCTATACTCTTTGTTACTAGCTTCCTTATTTGTCAGGAAGCAGTGGATGAGTATAAGACCCAGTGAAAAAAATACTAGAACTCACTTACCTACAAGTACGCTGGCTTGATAACACGTTTTTAGAGAACCAACATATGTAATTCCAATCACCTAAGGGAGAAAACTGGGACCCCCACTGATCAGTCACCACCACTGTTGTGTCCTTTCCATTCTTTGGCATTCTCTTTCAGTTACTACAAAAAGGAAACCAGAATATAGAAATGCCAGGCCGCCATTTTGGCCAGACAAGATGCTTTCAGTTTACTGTATTTTACTGTGGGGAAAGAGCTTTTGTTTTTTGGCATGAAACTGCAAGATGAGTCACTTTATTATTGGAATATAGCTGAGCACTGATTAGCTGAGGCATTTCTACTCACCTAATAGCCAGAAAGAACATGGTTGTTCTGATTAGCTTTTGGTCTTAAGCAGCACTGCAGACTTGCAATAAAGAAGTGTCCTAGAGTGTCATGATAAATTAGCAGGAATTGCCTAATCTAACCCTTCTTCCTTTTACTTAATAACATTTAGGAATGGCTGATTTTGGAGAGGTGTCAGGCTTCTACAGCCTGACCCATTACTTACTATAACTGACAAGTGACTTTTAATAATATTCCTAGTAATCCAATATAATTATACAGTTCTTCAAAAAACAATTTTGAAAACCAGACCTTTTGCAAGCAGTCCATGACCTGGAGCTTGTAGAAGCAGGCCATGAATTGCAGGATTCTTGGAAACCAAATCAATGGCACTTCAGTGCCAGTGTAAATGAGATAAGAACCAACTTATTCAAATGTTGACAAGCATTTTGTGGCAGAAAACATACTTCAGCTTTATATCAGGCCTGCAAATAATATGGTGATATAAAAAATATGTTAATTCAAGTGGAAGGGTGGGGGGACACTATTTGAAATTCAGTCCAGAACTCCACCATTTTGTCCATTTTGCAATTGTTAAAGAGTTGGCTAAGAAACAATATGGGCACAAGATAAAAGCTGATTTGGCTATTGGGAATGAGCAGAATTTCAGAATGGGGATAAGGAAAAATCATACTTTGGCAGCCCCTTGTATAATTAAATTATTTAAGTGCTCCAGAAGTCACATCATGTTTCTGGAAGCTATTTATGAGAGGACAGCCTGCCTGAAAACTGGTTAGCATCAATGCCCTGCCCATATAAGGCCTCTTGCTAGACAGCCCAGCAATCAGCAGCTATAACAGCAAAGCAGAAAAGCAGCCTGATGTGGTGGATACTGTGGTAGAGTTATTTGCATGTTGGAGTTATGGAACTCTAAGGTTTTGGGGTCCAACTGACTAAGGATATAGATAAAAGAATCTGTGACATTGCTTGCTTTTTTGCTTATTTTATATTTTATTATTTTTATTTTATTATTTTACTTTATTATTGTATTGTTTTGTTATGTGGTTTTATTTTATTTTATGTTTTATTTTATGTTATGTTTTATTTTATATTTTATTTTATGTTTTATTTTATTATTTTATTCTATTTATTATTTTTTATTTATTATCTATTTGTATTTTATATTTCTAAATTGCCATCTCCCTCGAAGAGAGGCTCTGAGCCTTTCCAGGGAGCTAGCTCTTCACATAATGTGCCTGAAGTAGGATAACTTAAATTATAAATACAATATATATATACTGTATATTGTATAATAAATATATTATTATACAATATAATATATAATAAATAAAACAACATATAAAAACTAAAATTAAGAGGATTTTTAAAAAATTCTTTAAAACTATAGAATAATCTCATAAACTGCAAAAGGGTAAAAATCCCAAGATGGCCATTTAATGTTGGTTATTACAGGAGGCTCTCATGGAGCTAGCCAGCCTCACGGTTGCATGGTCCTCTGTGCCGTCCACTCAAGGCCACAGAGCCAGGTTTTGACCCTTTTGCAGAAGGCCAAGAGAGTGGGGTCCCTTCTCACCTCTGTGGACAAGATGTTCCATAATATGACAGATAAGGCTTTCTTCTAGACCCTGCCGAATGAAACTCCTTGACTGATGGGTTCTGCAGCATTCCTTCCCTGCCTGAACAAGTGATGGGGCAAAGCCAGTTCTGTAGATAACCTGCTCCAATGCCATGTAGGGCTTTATAGGTGATGACCAACACCTTGAATTGCACCCAATTGTTGTTGTTTTTTTTACTACAAACCAAATCGATTTTCTCCATAATGATCTATTCTAACCTGGCCTTTCAAGTGTTTCAATTGTACATTTATCTCCACTGTGACTGGGTTCACCCATTTTGGGCTGGGTATCCTTTTCTTTTTTCCCATTTTTCCCAGCATTAGAGCCTTTTCCAGAAAGCTAGGTCGTCACATATGTCTGAAATAGGATAACTTAAGCCTAGTCATAAAAAACAATTTGCTTTTAGTGATTCATCCTTTGAAACTATTTTTGCTCAATATAGAGTGAATTAAAGGATGAATCACTAAAACCTAAAGATTTTTTTCTTAATAAATGAGGGTATGTCAAGAATTTGTGAGTCTATTAAATTGATTTACATAAGCAATTGTCTCACCAGAACATATGTTTTTTTCCATAATCTTATTTAAGTATTTTCTGGTCTTAGATTGTATGGGATAATATTGCAGCTACCAATAAGTCATTAGATCATACTGTATATCTGGGACTTGAGAAAATATGGTAATCACAGAGGTAAAATAAACCATGACAGGAAAACTGCAGGAAAAAAGTCAAGTGGAGAAACTATTTATGACTATTATGTCCTCCTGGTGTATTGAATAAAACCCCACAATCCTCAAATCAGCATGAATGTTGAAATCAAGTGTATATAAATGATCTTGGGGAAGTTTTCTTGAAAAAATACTTTAAAAGAACTGAAGAAGCTTCTTGGATGGCAAAATGTCTTCAAGGAAAAACAAAAAAGTTTTTCAAAGGTGCCTTTTGAAAAAGCACCTTTGGAACAATCATGACTAGATGACTGAGAATTTCTATAGACATGCTTTAAAAGAGTTTGGCAGAAAAAAAATTAAAAATATCCTTAGATTAATAATTTAACCAAATCAAAGCTATTCCAAGAGCAAAAAGGTCCAGGATGAGCAACAATCTCTACTTAATTCTCAAATAATCATGTAGCACACAGTTCAATACATCAGGCTAGCTTTCAGGAGTCTTAAGTTGAGGTTAGGCCTTCTTCTTGATGGTTATATGGGTTTTTTTCAAGGTTAGCAATATAAGTATACTAAAAACATTTTAGTGTTGCTAGTACTCATAATCCAGGCACTAAGATCACAAGTAATCATCATCATCCCAAACGAACAGCAGGTTGAAGGCCTCTTTATTGAAGTTACAGACAGGTTGGTAGGTGCTTTTCAGTTTTGACAGATGGTTTTTGTCTGAAACTAGGAGAAAAACCGTTTGGGTCAAAGTTACCTAGCTGTCTAAGTAATGGCTAGGATCTGGATCCCCCTGTTCCTACTCTAGCATATTAAATACTACCATGCTGGTTGTCAATTTTTATTTTTATAAATTCATGTATACATACATATACATGATAAAAAGAACCACGAATTCTCTAAAGAAACATGTTTTATTTAAAGTCTTAAATACCATCACCAGAATGAATTTGATTTACATTGATTGGTGTTCATCAAAAGGCCTAGTCTGCCTTTTCTCTCCCAACCTTGATTCCAGTTACTTTTAAAACAGATTATGTACAAGACAGCTGTGGTCACTGGAAGTATGCTATTTACATGACTAAATTATAAGCAAAATTGCAGACATCTGAATATTAAAAAAATACAATCAAAAATAAATACTGCATAATGACCAGTTACGTACACATTTTCCATATGGTCGTGTCCTCCTTGTCTGAATTAGAAATATTTTTATAGGAATATGCATAAAGTGTGCACCAACTGCATATCATAGTATCAGAAAAAGAGTCATAACTTTAAAAATGTTTTTTTTATTTTTAGTGATTAATGCATGTGTTAGTATTCATTGATTGCTCATACACAGGTGACTAAATTATTTCAGTCAATATGTTTTTACCAGTCATCATTAACCTATACATAATCATGTAAAAGGTCAATTATCTTTCTTATCTAGGTAATTCTTTTATGAATGCAAAAGGGTTTGGTAAGTAAACAGAACTCCTGTCAATAAGAATTCCCCTTGGGGTGCATGTGCTGTTTGAAATCACTGCAAGGGTACAATTCACCAAGCATTTTGACTGTATTAATTCCATTCGCATTCAGTGGTACTCATGCATGGAACATGGGCAAACCTTGAAGGAATTCTGTTCTGTTTGAAAATTGAACCATATAAAAGAAATGGCAGTATACCCATTTTTCCTTTTGCCCTCCTATAATTCATGTACATATGGGGATATGTAAATACAAAAGTAAAATATTCATGAGTATGGCCTTAAATTAAAATATTACATATTTTAATACATATTAAAATATTATTGCAATGCCTCATCATTAAACAACAGGTCTCTAAGGCATCTAAAGATACAGGAAAAAAGGATGATATACTTCAACATGAACAAATTACATATCTTTTTATCCCCCCAAAAAATGAGATCTGGACTTAAAATTATCCACCTTTCCAGTTACCCTAAATTACCTGATATAGGAAACAGGTGTTTGTTTCTTCAAATACCTGCAACATTTGCATTTTAGGTTCTTGGTGAGGGGTGTCAAAATTAATAAATGTTATGTACTTTGTTTAAGGCGTTTAAGAATTTAAAAAAAAACTGCAATCTCTTTGGGCATGTAATTCCCATTAATAGAAAGATTAAGCAGATACAGGACTGCAGCTCAAATTATGACTTGAATGTCAAGTTCATATTCACTGATTTCCCATCCCAGTTTATGAAAACTGAACAGAAGAGGTTAATAGGTAGCAATTTATTTGGCTCAATGGAAGTGATAAAATGCTGATATTTACCAAGACTGTTCTGATATTTCTTTATCTAGAAATGATAGTTCAACCTTTGAATGAATGATGCTGGTGCTGAAAACAAATTTATTGAAGACGTTTTACAAATGGCCACATGGTTCCAGTATTTTGCTGTTGAATTCAATTTGAAGATGAGAGGGAAAAGTTTTTCATGCACTGTACAATAAACAGCAAAAAGTTCAATTTGTTATCAAATACATGCTGAATTATTGTAATGTACTCCCCAAGCCATGTTGCAAAATTCTTTTCAACATGCTTGAAAAAAGTTCTTAAACAATTTTTTTCTCAAAGATTTCAGAAATGCAGAATCAGTCTGTATCCCTGAATCAAATAGGGAGCTTGAGAGTAGTAAGTCAAAAAGTAGCAATTTTGGAGGGTAATGATTATCCTGGGAGCCAGGACAGCAACGAGAGGGCAAAAGGAGGATGGGGGAAACAAGAAGGGAAAGAAGTGTACAATTTGCACATATTTTGAACTTTACAAGGCTTGTACCTTTTACAGTTAAATAAATTTAATATATTACATTTATTTCTTGTCACATAAACATAATTTGAGTATTTGCTAGAAATTATTAATTTTTCATTGTTGTCTGCAAAAACACAGACCATGATTGGTTTAAAGAATGATAACTTGGTGTGTCTATCACCTTGTTGCATTCTCTCCCTTTTAAAACCATGCACTAGTGAAATTTATTTTTAAAAATAATATAAATTGTTGAAAATGGCTGATTTATTCTTTTTTTTTTTTTGCAAGTTGCAGCCCCAAGAAAATAATTTTAAATGTTCAGCATAATCTGTGTCCATGCAAAAAAGTGTCTTTAATTCATACAGTACAGTATAGCCACAGAATTTTACTTTTGACTTAGTCCACGCTGGATTTGACTCTATTAGTAACTGGAGTTACAAAGCCTGCCACTCTAAGTCTTCAAGCTTTCTGATAAGGCAAGTTTCCTCTGCTGTTAATGAATGCAAAGACAACTCCCTTTTCCTTTTTCTTCTAATGATCTGCAGCATGACTTCTTTGGGTAGCTCCATATTTCTGTGGCATAACCAGGTTTGGGTGGGTGCGGGCAGAAAAGGGCCAGTAAAGAAAAGGGAACAGGAAAACAGACGTGCCATTGAAGGGATTCTTGTTGCATGAGACAACTTGATTCTTTAGTTTAATCCATGGCTTCAAATTGGATTAAAAGTTGAGTGTCACTGAAGTCCAAACCATTCATTTCTTCCAGTTCCACTCCTTCACCTGAGGACTTCCTTTAGAGCACAATGTGTGCAACTTCCTCTGAGAATACAGGATCGCTTTCTAGCCCTAGAAACAGGCTCCAAATACGCAACATTAAGCATGCAGTGTTACCAGAGCTTGCGACCTGTTAAATATTTTTTGTAACGCTGGTTGCTATGATAAAGTTCACAGCTGCTATGAGCGAGCGTACGATGGTCCTGTTGAACTTTCAAGAGATGATTGGGATGCCCTTCTTGTAAGAGGGGCCAAAGTTGGATCTACTAGGGATGAGGGAGGGAATAGTTTAAACCAGCCAATCACCATATTGGACAGATCCAGTTCTTCTAAAAGTATCTGTGCCACTCCCATAAAGGATTTGTGATCCATACGTCCATAGTCTCCCCATACAATAATCTGTTGAATTAAAAAGAAATAATACATTTTAAGGAAGTGGCAAAGGAAATGCATTATTTTATGTAGAATAGTTCTAAGATGGATAGGCTGATATGTGCTGATTCAATGAACCAAACAAGAAAAATATGAGCTGGAAACACTGCCTGGGATCCAAATTACTTTTACTCAAGTTCATTTTCTAATTTCATCTTCTCCCTGAGCCATATTATGATGTACCTAAAGAGTCCCTTAAGTTTTGAAGAATGGAATGGCCTTAGATGGCTCATGTTACATTTCATCTCAAATGAAGATTAGATTCTAATAGAGCTAAATCCAACCAAAAAAATCTCTTCATTATTTAAAACATTGATACATTTGATTACATCAAAAAAGACTTGCAAATTATGTTTGCAAATACAAAAACTATCCAAAAGATACAATTAACATTAACCAGGGTTTAATTCTAAAATCCTAAAAATGCAATTCATTATCAAAACAAAGCATATTTTTTGACTTTACTAGATCTGGCATGTGGAGTAAACAATAACTCAAATCTAGCTACCCTGCTGAAATGCTCAGAATATGTCTGATAATAACTCCCTTCCTAGCACATTTTGTAGCAAGGTAGCAATCAAAGCTACACAAATATCTACAAAAATGAGAGCTTAAAAAGAACATGAGTCATTGATTCCACCTTTTATATATAAGAACAGGTAGATAGAACAAAAATACTTCTATGAAAGGGTAAAGACTGCAAGTCCAACATAAACCCCTGATGATATCCTGGACAAGTTCATGTGCTTGGCAAGAATTTCAAATAATTTGCCATAGTCTTTTCTTAAAGTGTTCTTTCCACATCAGTCATCCCCCATTCAGCAAATGTTATGAGATCTGTTCTTAATAGTTCTCAAGCTACCACCTTAAATTGGACCAGTGTAAAGACTTGAAGATAGTTCAGTTCTGCAACACTGGGTAGATAAAAGGTGGAACATCATATGAATTTAGGTCCTTTCATACAGAATGACTGGTAACCTGGCTTGAATCTCATTACAGATCCATCTCTCAGATTTTCTGTTTTTAAACACTTTGAACTTTTTCAGGACGATAAATGTAAAAACTAATAGATTTAAATTTATTAATCCAAATAATTGTTTACAATTTAAAATATGGCTATATGAATGATAACCTGGAAACAACTCCCAATAACTACACATACCATTTCTATGTAACTTTTCACCAATTACGCTATGAGGCTTTTAAATCTGCAGTCTTGGGTTTAAGTTTTATTTGCTCGGTTTCCAATAGTATTTTGTACTGTAGTTCTATTTAGATCACAGCAGCAAGCAGCATCTAGCTGACTTTGGCTAATTTTGGAAAAATGAATCAGGGTTAGACCTGATTAGCATAAGAATGGAAGAGCACTATTAAATCTCAAGGCTAGACAATGTTTGACTATGAGAATAATGCTGTTTTTGCTCCCTTCTACAAAGGGAAAATAGCAAGAATGAATGTGAAAACAACAGAGGATTAATTTTGCAAAGTGTCGTTAAGAAGCTGGTAGAATTTTGATAGAAAAAGTGCAAGAAGTAACAATGACTAAAATTTAGGAAATGCAGTGCAGCTTTACACCATATAGTGATGAATGTATTACTTTTTTGCACTTCAAATGGTCATTAATAACCAAATGAATGTAGCAAGAAAATTATGTTAGCTGATTTAATGAAAGTATATGACAAAATAAATCAGCTGGAATTATGGAATGTTTTAAGTGACTATTGAGATGAAGGCTGATTGCTAAATGCAGTAAGAATGATATAGGATAAGAAAGCGTGGGTGAGAATAAATGGAATGCTTAGTAAATAGTTGGATATTGAGCAAGGAATAAGATAAGAATGTGTGTTGCCCCCTTTTTTATTTAATGCATTTACAAATAAATATTGATGTCATTAGCAGTGAGTTGATTGGGATGTGAATATTTGTGTAGCTTTGGACAAAGATGATACCGTGTTATTGGCTGAGAACCCAAATGATTTGCAATAGATTACAGCTATATGATACGACAAGTAATATAGAAAATAATGTATTGAAGATAAAGATAGCTTTTATAAGAAAACTGTGTTAATATTGGCAAGTTATACATAAATGGCAAAAAACCAGAACTGGCAAAAGACCAGAGAAGATAGTTAGTGTACTTTGGTAGAAGAAAAAATGGATGAAGAAATGTTCAGATGCGCAAAGATAAGAAATAGCAAATAGTATGTTGTGAAATAAATATATGGCTGCAAATAGTATGTTGTGAAACACAGAATGGCTGTGTTTCTCTCTACTTTGTGATATGAAAGTGAGAGTTGATATGACAGGAGAAACAGAAAAATAAGTTGACCACAGAAGGAATGGGTTAGGTAGGTGTGGTAAAACAAGAAGGTAGAGTCAAACAGTAATTGATTGCTAAATTAATGCAGACTGAATACAAAATAGAGTAACCAGCATGAAATACAATCTTATTTTTATTGGTTTGGGGTTCACAGAGAGAATAAATGAGAAATTCCAAAACCAATATATGAAAGAGTGAATGGTTGAAAGAAAGGGAAGACCCTGAGGCTGGATGAGTTGATGAGTTCCTCAAAAAGAAATGAGAAATAGAAAGAACAAAAAGAAATGCATGAAATGGGGTATGGAAGTAGTTGGAGGTAGGATGCTTTGCAAAGATAGAAAACTTTGCAGAAGCATGGTAGATTGTAATACTGGTACTATAAATTAGTTTTAGCTAGATTGCCTTTTCTTTTTTATTATCATTTAATTTCTTTAGCTTACTCTTTCTTTTTTCTGCACTCTGCATAAAATTGCTTATCTCAAATGGAAAAACAAGATGGATGTGTGTATGTATATGTTAAATATTTATGTAAAAACAAGATAGGATTTTATTTGTTTATAAAGTTGGAAATGGATTAGCATAATAGAGTGCTTAAAATATTATTATGCCATAAAACAGCTGGGGGGGGGAGGTTAGCTTTATTAAATTAATATCCTAGAGCACATCAGGCCACAACCAGCCAAGAAAAACTACTTGCAACTGAGGCACGAAGGAATTGAAGGACAGATGAAAGGTATATAGCCTAAGTAAAACTTAGCAGTCAGTAGCAGCTACTCCCCCTTGCCTACTTGCTCTCCTAGGCTACTGTTTCCTTACAGGGCTACATGGGGGGTTGTTTAATGAAATCATCCAATGCTTCAGGGACTTCTTTTTGATTTTATGGGGAGCAACTAGAAAATAAACTTTTATCAGGAGCACAAATAGTGTAACACATCTTGAGAAGTTCAATGGAGAAACACACAGCTATGCCTATTGCATGATGGTTGGTAATATAAAAAAGGCTTAATTTGCAACTTCAATATGTCTCAAGTAGCAACCCAGCAAATCCTTTTATACATTTCACACTGAGATGTACACTGTTCTTGTTGTAGTAGCTACTGAGGTGTTCAGTGCACCATCTGGCTTATTACAGTATGTAGAATTAATGTAAATGTTTAAGATCCAAAATGTTGAAGAGGGGTTTTATTGCTACACTGCTACAATGTTCTCTTGACCTTTCATTTTGTTGAGCTAATTGAAGCCGATGGTGAAGTTCTTTGCATGATAGAGTGGTGTCCCTGCCTTAAAAGGGATGATAGTGTTCCACTCCTATAAAAACTCTCCATTTAAATGTATGGTAAATACTTCACAGGTGCTTCTACAGTTATCATCATCACAGACTTCTGTAGTTAGCATGCCTATTAGCAACCTTAGCTGACTAAACAGCTGTGCCCTTCTTGAAGCAAAATAGTCTATCATACTTGTCCAAGTACTAATGGCCTATAATAGTATGTGGGAATGACCTTGGGAGATAGGTAGGAGGAAATGTGATGCCCATGGATTTCCAGTAGTTTCCTATTCATTCTTTCAAGGGCTGAGAGAAAGTGTCTGGTCCAAGGACACTCCACTGGTTTGCGCTGAAGGCAGGGCTAGAATTCATAGTTTTCTGGTTTTAGCCTGGTGCCTTAATCACAACCCCAAACTAGTTTTTGAAACAATTGTACTGGCTACAAGTTAGCTCCATTGATGGCTTATTAGCTCTTATTGCTAGCTACTAAAAAGCTTCATCACTGGTATATGAAATCTGTAAACAACTTGGAAAAAGAAATCTGGTAATGTTCTTCCCACAGCAGGTGTTAGAAGGTGTTCCCCTTGGCTGAACAAAGATGCCCTTTGATGTAGACGCAATGGAAACCACAGCCCATTTTTTAATTATACTGCAAATTCTACAGACACTCTCTTTGTAACTGATCTCCCCATTCCTCTCTAAATTCACAGGACAATTCTGTTTTCCTAAACAATGCTAAGTTGTCTTATACCATGTAAAATCTGCCCTTCAATTATTGTTGATGATTATGCAATGTATTACTATGGTGGTCTTTTGGGGTCTACGGTCATAATATAATCCATTCATCCTGAACTGCAGCTTCTAGCAAGATGCCTTTTCTATTATACCAGTGGTTCTCAACATTAATGCCGCGATTCCAACCGGTCGTAAGTCGAGGACTACCCAACCGGTCGTAAGTCGAGGACTTTCCCTGCCCGGGAGCGCTGCGCATGTGTGGTGCCACCCCCTGAGCCAGCCAAGGCGTAGCTGGCAAGCAGCAGAGATGGTGCAGGCCGACCACCGGCTGGGCCACCAGCTGGCCCAGCCCAAGGGAGGTAAGGCACCCGCCGGGCCCACGCGCGCCAACAACCCTCCTTGTGCCTGCCAGCCTCCCACCTCCCATCCCTGGCCCTCTTTTACTTACATTTTTAGTAGTTGCTCAGCAGGGAGGGGTGGAAACTTCCAGACAGCTCGCCTTCGCTGCAGACAACCTGCAGCACCATTTGCAGAATGGGACTTTTGGCGGGCTCAGCAGGGCAGAGACAGCCTGGATAATTCCTATTGGCTTTTGAAAGCCAATAGAATTAGACTCTACTCAAGAGAGTCTATTCTATTGGCTTTCAAAAGCCAATAGAATAAAAGGGAGTAGCACAGCTAAGGAAAAGGGAAAAAAATGGCGGACTGCATTGTTTGGCAACCCCCATGAAATGGTCGTTCGACCCCGAATGGGGTCCCGACCCACAGGTTGAGAACCACTGTATTATACACTTGTTTAAGTACTTAACTTCCCTAGGAAAACCCTACAAACAATGCTGCCTTATGATCACTTACAAAAGGACCTCCTTGATTGGGTTGCCTGCTCTTTGGAATGCTTTTCCTCCTGTGCAAGGGCTGCTTGCCTTTACATTGGCTATGGAAATACTACCTTTTCAGGGAGCTCTTCTCAGTATTAAAGGTGGAGACAAAAGTTTATTTATTTGCATTAATTCATTTATTCCTCTTCAATTCTTTTTTAATATGTATATTTTACATTAACTACTGAATGGGATTTTTTTCAGGGTTTTTTTTTTTAGTTCAACTGAAATATTTTATGGGAAGCAGCAAAGACATTTTTAAAAATGAAGAAATAAATATATTAATCTGCATGGTAACAATGCAAATTACCTGTAAAACTTTCCCTTGAGAGTTCTCTTCAAATGACAACAGCTGCTGGTAAAGAGGTTCCAGCGTTTTTCTTGCCACTTTTGTTTTCTTTTTGGCTATACAGACTCCGTTTTCTAATAGATACACCTTTACGTACGGTGCTTTGGAGGGAAAAATATAAACAATTGTTAAGAAAATTTTACATTAGTTATACTCTTGAACAGTCAGTGATATTTAGTTTCAAATGAATATATCTTCACACAGTATAGTGCATTTATGAATTAACAAAATAAATTATTTATGCAAGCTTCTCTTTCTGTCCTTTGTCCCACTTCCCCAACATTGGGAATGAGCAAATACAGTGTTTCCCTGAAAATAAGACCCGGTCTTATATTCCTTTTGCCTCCAAAACAGGCACCAGGTCTTATTTTCGAGGGATGCCTTACCTTAGGACTGTTGCAGCCAGGTCTCCCAAGCCCCGACATCTGCCTTGCCTCGCCAGCCCACTTCTTCTGTGGCCGCTCGCCACTGTTCAAACGTGTCACCCCCAGCCTTAGTTTTGTCATCAGAGGCCTTCAGGAGAAGCCTCTGCAACCAAGAAATTCTGGACTGATGCATGTGACACCCCCGAGCTCCATTTCGCCATCAGAGGCCTTTCCTGAAAGGCTCTGCTGGAAAAACGGAGGCCGAGAGGCATCACGCACATCAGTCTGGAGCTTGTTTCTTGTTTCTTGGCTGCACAAGCGGCGGAAAGGTCTGCAGAAGTGGGATGGTGAGACGAAGCAGATGTTGGGGTGTGGAGACCTTACTGCAACTATCCTAAGGTAAGTGGGTGCAGGGTCATTCCAGCCCCCTCAGCCCTGCCCTAGCTTGATTTTTACCCATGTGCCTCTTCCCACCTCGTGCAACCAGGTGTAATGGAGTGGGTGGGGTCTTAAGTAGGGCTTATTTTTGGGGTAGGGCTTATATTGGGTGCACATGTACAAATCAAGTACAGCTTATTTCGGTGTAGGTTTTATTTTTGGGGAAATACAGTACTAGTAGTATTGCTTCAGGGTTCAATAGATGTTTAGTCTTCAACAGAAGACAAAACAAAGCAGAAGAGCTATTCACAGTTGTAGCTTTGGATCCTAAGAATGCTAAGAGTTTAGCTTAGAATTCAGATTTAACCATAGTTTCAGTTGGGAAACTGTGATCATCCTAGACCAAGCCATGTCCAAAAATGCTAGGGAATTTCTAGAAGCCCAGCAATCTGCCAAATTAGCCATCAATAGACACATAGACATAAACAATATCTATATACTATGCAAAAGAGACAATCAAAAAACCAAAAAGGGAACAAAAAGACCAAAGCACCTCACCATCAGCAATCAGCACCCAGATAAACACAGATTATTTCCAAGATTAACATCAGACCAACAATCAAGTAAACAATACTCCAATCAAGGAACTGCCAAACAAGATAGCTCAACCAAAGAATTTTAAGACCACTCCCATCAACACTGACAGGGCAAGCCACTAGTTATATAAATTGAGAGCAAACCCCACTCTTTACTAGCACTGATGATGCTACCTAGTTTGGATAATGGAACATCTGCAAGAAAACAACTAAGCTCAGAGACCATCAAGGACCCCTCATACTAACAGTTTCCATGCATATGCCCATATAGTATTGTTAATTAATTTCCTATATCAAAACTGGAACAGAGTTAAGAAAATTGAATTACAAAAAGTAATACTCTCTATTGTGCAGATCTTGTCTCTAAAGAAGAGGGCCTACAATGATGTTCAGTACCATAAAGCTGAGGCTATTTTCACTAAAGATTATGATTATGGAAAAATGAACTGCTCACATATTATCACAGCATTTATAGTTCTGGGATCTAATCATACTTCTTTTACCTGGCAGTGTCTTTGAACCTGGTTTTACAACAAGGCCTCGTGCTCTTATTATTTCTACCTCCAATTGTCCCTTTTTGTCCATCATTCCAACTTGGATATCACCTAAAGAGACAAAAAATGCAAGTACTTAAATGAAAAGCAGATACAATTGTATGAATGCATACGTGTGCACATGCACACACACTGTTTGTGATTATATAAAGATACATTAAAGTAAATACCATAAATGCCGGAGTATAAGACGACTTCCGCGAGCGCTAAAATCGGCGCCAAAGACGGAGGTCGTCTTATACGCCGAGTCGTCTTATACGCCGGAAATACTGGTAGTTTCCGGTGTATAAGACGACGTTCTAGGAATGCGGCCCGGCTATAAAGACGGGGGTCGTCTTATACGCCGGGTCGCCTAATACGGCGGCATATACGGTATTTAAATAACAGATCTGTACCTCTTCATCAACTCAGTTTAACTGAAAACTACATCTAATCACTCCCGATTGTATTAGATTCTTACTTATAGGAGTGAACAATAGATTTTCTATTTCTATTATTAACAATTTAAAGGAGATCTCAACTGGGAGCCCTGGGATACTTCAAGGGGGCTAAAGTTGAAAAATATATAGTGGGGGATCATGGTATGTGCCAAGGGAGCCCAAAAAAAGCAATGTGTATGATATTGAAAATACTATCTAGTTGATGCCAAAAAAGGCATTGTTCCATATCTGTTCCATATCTATCCATAATAGAACTTGGACAGGGGGCCACAGGAGAAAAGCAAGGTTAGAAGTGAGAAAAAAAGGATGAGAAATACTGCTAGAGGATATATTTTCCCAATTCAGCCATATATCTAATTATAACTTTCCATAAGAACACCATGATGTTTTCCAGAGGTTATATATTCACAGTTGCAAGAAAGCCATATGGAATAGAGTTAAAGTGCTAGATTATGAGAGAGGAGATCGAGATTTTAGTCCTTAGACACAGAAGCCACTTTGGGTCAATCTGTCCTTGTCAGTGCCAATTAGTCACAAGGTATTTATTTATTAAATTTGTTTGCCGCCTATCTCACTTCAAAGCAACTCACTTCAAAGCAACTGCTACAACATTAAACTGCTTGAAGGAAAATCCCTGTCACTTGTGTACTGATAGTTTTGCTGTAAGAATTAGATAAGCACAATGCAAAAACAAATGGGACTTCTTAGCAAATGCTAAGAAAAACAACAACAGATGCTCATAACCACCCTTGTGTGTGTGTGTGTGTGTTTTAAGTTGAAATTATTCCAACAAATCTAAAGTGAACATAGGTGGTTGACCAAGAACAATTCAGTTCGAATGTGATTATTCAAATGTCAACATTTCTTACCCATTGCTGGAGTAGCCAGGGTCTGGCGTCCAACAAGCTGTGCAGGGCCAAGTCCATCCAGAAAATCACTGAATTGGCTATCGGTCGCCAACCGCACACCAGGGAAGATCAAACTAATAGAAAGCACATTTCTTTTTACCAATATGGTTCTAACACAAAGAATTATATTATCAATGTCGTCAACATGAGTTATGTTCCATTCCATATCTAGTGTGCATTTACAAATATTATTTTATGACACACACAAAAATTTATTACTGAATATACTGAATATCTTATTTGATCTTAAAAACATTTTTGATCATCATTATTACTTGTATTCTGGAGTCTGAACTGGAACCAAAAGATTCTAAGTTGCTTATATGAAAAAAAAAAAGCTGGCGTACATATCTCACATTGTTTATTGTATGTTGCAGTGTTTTATATATGGCTTTGAATATGGTAATACAATTGATTGACAGTTTCCTTATAGTTTCTGAAAAGAACCAAATTGGGCAGAACACATTTCCTGATATTTTCAGTCAAATTATTGAATTGAAATGTTGCTAATTAAAGGTATGTCATGTAAGCAGTTCCTCTGTTCTCAAGAGTATTTCATCTTCAAGAATTACTCTAAGCCTCTTTCAAATTATACATGAAGAATGACACTGAATGAAAGCAAAAGAGTTTGCCTTAACCTAAGCATGTTTGTTAGAATATTACAAAATGCCCTGCAATGCCAGATGGAACACTGCTATTGTGATGTCTTCCTTAGTTTCTAAATAATCTGGAATTTTTTGACTGACTGAAAAAATACTTGAATCACCATAAAGTATTTCTTCTGGTGTCATTGAAAATGATTGCATGGCTTGTTTTACCTCCTATCTCTTCAAATGCACATTGCTCAAGATAGCTAGTTTCATACACATATAACTGTCTAAACCAGTATTTCTGAACCTTGACAAGTTTAAGATGAGTTGATTTCAAATCCCCACAGTTGGGGAATTCTAAGAGTTGAAGTCCTGGGAGATTGGAATTTCTGGACTGGAATCCTGGGAGTGGCAGCCCGCCCATCTTAAGCTTCACAAGGTTGAGAATCACTGCTCTAAACAGAGACAGCAAAACTCAAGATGGCAGTCATGGTGGTGCACCTGATGCCCTGCCCCCTTTGTGCAGGTATTCACACACAAGAGGCATGGGATTTGATTATACTGAAGTGACCATCATCTTAACCTTTTACTCCTTCTAGAGATACCACTGTCCTTCCACAACAGCCTTTTCCTACTTGTTCCCTACCAACTGTGTTGAAGTAAAATTCCCATCATTCCCTTCTATCATGCCTATTGGTACACAGCAGTGGCCAGGCATGCCAGAAACAATTGTTGGGGAAGAAGGACAGGTTAAATTTTGGATTCCATTAAATGCATATGGTATGATTGTCCTTCTTTTACTTTGTTATATTTGTAAAGAATGTGAGCCTTATTTATGCGATAGCTAGTCCAAACCACCAGTTCTGAAATTAGTATTGTGGGATATAGGAAAACTCAGTAGAAAGGAAGAGTAGCTGGTGGTAGTCTGGGTGCTCTCACAACACCAAGTGATAGCAAATTATTATCAACCACTCAGGTGATGAGTTCTGCTAAGATCCATGAAAAGCAACATATTTGTAGAATAAAAATATATGTTTCATATATATATTAGTTTTTGTTGGATATGAAGCCCTAGTATCAAGAGAGAGAGAGAGAGAGAGAGAGAGAGAGAGAGAGAGAGAGAGAGAGAGAGAGAGAGAGAGAGAGAGAGAGAGAGAGAGAGATGATGTATGTTCATGTGTAATATTGTTGTGATCTTAAACCCAATTTAAATCAATGACGTATGGTTTAGAGATATTTATTTACAATTACAATCAGGACTTACTTTCCCTCTGAGTTATAACTGTTCATGCTGCCATCTGTAGACTCCCTGCTGGCCTGACGTGTCATCCAATTTCTCATCTCCACAGCCAACCCAGTTTCTGTGCTTCTCTGTACTGTACTCTTCAATTTTTTACCACCTGCTTCTAGAAAAAAAGTAAAAACACTTAGTTGTATCAAGTATCCATTTAAATAGAAATACATTTAACTGGCCAGTATAAATAGAGAAATTCAGAGTTATACAATTCTACAATGACACTAAAAATGCACTTTTTTAATGGTACCATTATTTTAATGGTAGTTCTTATAGTAATCACCTATATATGATCTTCAAAGTTAAACATGCACAGTCAACCAGTTTTATTTACATTGAATGTATGAAAATAATTTTGCCTGGGTAATTATGTTCTCCACCTCGCAATTAAATTGGAAAATAGCTCTGAGGATAGTAATTGTAATAACTATTGAATTAAGGGAAAGAACTTATAGTGTAAATTAGTTTAGGCACAAATAATTATATTTGGACCAAGAAGTATCCTTTTATCTGGTCAGTACAAACTACAAAAAGACAGTGAACCAAGGCATGGTATATATGCTTTGCATCTATTGCTTAAATTCTTCACTTGCATTGCTTCATCACATTTCACCTTTTATTCAGGAACTGAGGAGGAGTTATATATAGCATTCGCTTCTATTTTCTTGAACAACCTTTAAATCTAGTTAAGTTAAATAATTAGAAGAATATTATTGTCAGAACAATATTGTCTTTCTATAGCAGCCTCCATGTATACAGGCACTGCATGTATCTGCTACTTCAGCATCAGATATTGCTTAATGTTCTCAGGAATTTCCAGAAGCTAAAATCAAATAGCATATTGAAGCAAGCTTTTGTACAAGAAAACATGTATTATATTACATGTTTTATTTGCAAAGTAAAATGTTATAACTTTTCCTTTCTAAAGAAGGGTAATGTTTTAATCATCGTTTCCTTTGAATTTAACAGATGCTCCTACTGAATTTGACCATAAAAATAAACTAGTATAACAACAGCAATATTCTGCTAATTCAAATGCTTCCCATAAACATAAAACTCTGAATGCTGTGTAATATTTAAATTCTGAATATTATTATGAGTATTTGCAGAGTTTTAAACAGAGTGACAAATAAACTCCAGTTTAATACTCAATCTCTAAATTTATTTATTTATTGCATGATTCTAAGCAGTATACTAAAAAAAACACATAGTAATAAAGTTGTATATATGTGTGTTATTCAACAGTAGGAATTTAAATATTTTGAATCATGAAGAATGAAGTGAGTGTTAAATCCTGAATAATGTACTCATCTTAAGAGGAAGTATAGCATGCATAGAATTTCTGTAAATGTATATCTTAATATGTTTTGAAGCATATCCAAACTGGTGCATCTGCTATTTTTATATCTTGCAGCATAAAGTACAATGCAGGAGGAACTGTGACTATATTTAGCTAGGAAACTGTTCACTATAGAAAGCTTGCTAAATTTCAACATGTAAGATGTCAGAACATGGCCTATCATAAGGAGCAATGATGGCAAGAGACTGTGATTTTTAATATTTTATACACCTGTGATTCAACAGTCAAACTTTCAGTGTCACAATAGTCTCCACTTTGCAGTTTTAAAAGCTACAAACCACAGCAATAAAGTTAATTTATTCTTCATTAAAGTACTTCTGTTGCTTTTCCTCAAATTATATGGGAAAGGTGATTAATCTCTATCCTCTAAAAATATATTTAGGTAAATAAAAATTTTCTAACTCCTCAAAACATTTTTTTAAAGTTATGGGTTCATATTTTTGGATGTCAACTTTCTAGACCAATTTTCAAAAAAGAAAATTTGAGTAAATAATAATAATAGTAATAATAATGTTGGAAGGGACCTTGGAGGTCATCGAGTTAAGCATGTTTTGTATATTTTCCAGAAACCTCATATTACAAGAAAGCATCCAGTCAGGATATATCAAAGTATTAATTACATATAAACTACATATTTAAATGTAATTAATGTCTACTAATTAAAATCAATTGCCTGTAAAATAAATATATTGTACTTTACTCATTTTCACCCACATAAACCGCTTAGAATTACACAAGAAAAACAACAAGAACACCAAGCATATGCATACATTTATACTCAGATATAATTCCCTTCTTCTTTTCAGCAGAAGCAGTGAAAGGAGGAGAAGGAACAACAACAAAAATAACAATAAACAATAATAAGAACAGACTGAATATGGAATCAGGAAGACTAGTCCCACTGGGCAGGGAAGGAAATTAGAAAGGAAGAAAGAGAAAAGGTTAACCAATCAAGGAGAGGGGGAAAATGACAAATAATCCTTTTAGGTTTCACAAAAAGATTTAAATTCAGCAAGTTAGTAGTGCTCCAAGTAACAAGCTATGGCTGTGGTTATTTGCTCCTCCTCCCACTTGCTTAATTTTGATCAGGCCTTCTATAGTTTGCAGCCAGATGTACTGATTCTCCCACCCTCTCATTTTATATTTTGTAATGTTTAGAAACACTGCTCTTCTAAACATCAGTTGTCAGGAAAATTAGGCAGGAAAGAATTGAAGTTCTGCCTGGTATTCATGATGCAAAACAGGTAACTGGACTAGAAAGACATCAAATGTCTTCCCTTCTAATCACGGAAAGGATAATCAGGTAGTTAGCAATTCAATGGTGCATACCACAAAATTTATAAATTTGCATAGTAATGAGCAGGAAATCACATTGGCAACAAGTAGGTAAGAAATACAAATGACATATTTTATGGAAATTAATTTATTTTTGAGGAAGGTTATATTTCAAAGATTGGATAACAAATGATGAAGCATCAAAGCTATATATCAATGATAGAAGTGTTACGGATCTGCAAGAGAAGTTATCTGTAAGTGTTGGAGAAAGAAGATATGGTGAAAAGGACAAAGTTAGATCATTACTGTATACGGAGAGGCAGTACAACAGAGCTTTAGTTCCTCCCAGATTGTCTCAGTTCGGAATGAAAGGTAGTTCACAAGAAAATGGATATGTAAAGTTCATCCTCCATTAAGAAGCCAATTTGAAATATCTATCAATCTCTGACAGGTTTGTTCCCATGGATTTTTCATGCAGTAGCATGTAATGCCTCAGATAATAGGCATTGCAATAGTCTACCAAGCTTCTATTTCCCTAACAATGTGTCTTCTGGTCTTGAATATGATATGGAAGGTATTTTTATTTATGTGGCAAGTTTCGTCTGTGTTTGAAAAACTCAGACTCAAACATGCAGACAACACAAAAATGAATGAATATAGTCCTTGACTTATGTCCATTCGTTTAATGATGGTTCAAAGTTACAGCAGTCACCAGAAAAAAGTGACTTATTACTTTTAATCTCATTTATAACTGTTGTGCTACTCTTGATTTAGGCTGTGGGCAACTGGCTTGTATTTACAAGCAGCTATGGTTACGTGATTGCAATCTACAACTTTTTTTGCAAATTTCTGGAAAAAATACCAAGTGGGGAAATTAATGACGGTGTGATTTTCGTTACAACTACAGAGATTTATTTAACAATTGCTGTGAAAATTATCATTGGGATTAAATTGACTTATAGTTGCAACATCTTAAAATGGAAATTCCGGCCCCACTTGTGGTCATAAGCTGAGGACTACCTGAATTGCAAAGGATTGATAATGTGAGAAAAAGACAGCTGCCCTCACATGGAATGGCTGTGAGACTCAGCCCTTTAATGAAACTAATTTAATTTGTTAAAATTTTAATTTCTAAGTGCTCAATACAGACCTCTAAAACAGAATTCCAATTTGAAATTACATAAGCTACATAAGTAAAGATTCACTTGAGGGTCTATATTTAGCATGAATTAAAATATTGTTGCTTTGTATTCAATATAGAAAATTACAAAACATTATGAATAATATGAAATACTATATTTTGGAATAAACATACATGTATATAATTAGCTTTGCCAAACACTGCAAAATAAAAACACTGAATAAAGAACCAAAGTCAAATAAAGGATAAGCAATTTTAAATAGATTCTGCCACTGAGATTGTAAATCCTTGGTATAAATTGATATCTTAACTTTACTACCGAATATGCATGATCCTTTGAACTAGAAGCCTTTCCGTGAGTGAGGAGATGCAGCAATAGCCATATCCTTAGCTGATCATGGACTACTTTGTTCTATCAAAATGGCTGCCACTGACATAATCAATTCAAAAGCATATTTACAAAAAAAACCTTGAAACTGATAAGGATGATCCCCCATCACCACCACCACCATAATCAGTTTATTTGCAGGAGAACAAAATATACTTTTATAAAGATGATTTGTTTTATGGCATGCCATCTCTTCTTTAAAAAAATGGAATCTAAAATAAAAAAATCAAGCCAATGAAGGGACAAGATATAACAGAACCAAAAAAGATTTTATTTTGCTCCAATTTAGAAATTTACATTTAAAGTTTGTATTCTGAATGTTCTGTATAGCTCATTTGAAAATCTGTATGGATTGGCTGCAAAAATAGGGCAAACCTCTTGAAGTACTCACTCAATGCATTGACATACTGCAATAGCTAAGTTTAGTTGAATGGCCATCTGCATATATGCATAAAATGCAGAAGTAAACAACCCTTTGATGAGCAGGGGCTTCATTTAATTTTTTTTTTAAGTTGAGCAGATGTAGCATGTAAGGAGAGAACTTGGAGTGATGGTTGCATACTTTCTTTGGAAAAGCAATTTGTGGGGGATTAATTTTTTAAAACTGCATTAAGTATACTTGGAGATATAAGCAGCAGTTCTTCTTAAAATCTAAAAATGGCATTAAATTATGTCACCAATTTTCCAATATTCTGGTCAAAAGTGTTTCCAAGGAGCATAGGAGCTCCATGTGGCCTCGAGGAATCATTTCCTGGATCTACATTTGTATATTAAGATCTATTCGGTGCCAGCCATTATATATGACTGGGAGACAATTAGTCTGAATAATAATAATAATAACAATAACAACAACAACAGGAACAACAACAACAGGAACAACAGTAGTAGTAGTAGTAGTAGTAGTAGTAGTAGTAGTAGTAGTAGTAAGTGGAAGTGACCTTGGAGGTC